AATGTGTTTAAAGTTCATGAGAACCAAATGTTGACCTTGGGCATATCCCCCCTGAATTTAGAGACACTCAGAAATAGATGTGGCCCATTGCATACAGGTTACCAAAGACCAGATGAGTTCTAGGATGGCATCATGGACACCCCAAATGAAGGAAGCAAACAGTCCTTAGACAGAAAGGGAAGGAAAGACCAAAATGTGTGGCAGATGAGACTCCCAAACTTGCTCTGAGCACCTAAAGTCCCCAGAATAAATAGTGCCCTAAAAGAGCTGTACAGAAAATTCCAAAGGACGGCTCAGGAAGACCAAGAAAAGCCTTACAACGAAATATGCAAAGAACTAAAGTTACAAAACCAAAAAAGAAATACACACTCAGCATTTTTCAGGCTGAAAGAACTGGAGAAAATATTCAAGCCTCTGGTTTAAGAATTCTTTGGACAAAGTATTGAATGATGCAGGAAGCATCCAAAGAAGATGGAAAGAATATAGAGTCATTGTACCAAACCGAATTGGTCAATGATCAACCAGCTCAGGAGGTAGTATCTGATCAGAACCAATGGTATGAAAGAAGTCCAAGCTGTACTGAAGGCGTTAGTGAAAAACAAGGCTTTGGGAATTGATGGACTACCAACTGAGATGTTTCAACAAATGGACATCAGACTGGAATTGTTCGCCATGTACACCAGAAATTTGGAAGTCAGTTATCTGGTCGACCAACTAGAAGAGATGCATGTATGTGTCCGTTCCAAAGAAAAGTGACCCAGAAGAATGCAGAAATGATATAACAATACCTTCATTATCAAAGGCAAGTAAATTTCTGATGAAACTTTTTTTTTTAAGTAGTTACAACAGAAGATCAACAGGGAAATGCCAAAAATTTGAGCCACATTCGGATAAGGACATGGAACCAGGGATGTCATTGGTGATGTCAGATGGATCTTGGCTGAAAGCAAAGAATATCAGACAGAAATGTGTATCTGTGTTTTACTGACGATGCAAAGACACAGTGGATGGATATCAAATTATGGATAATATTGTGCTTACTTCTGCCTATGTATAACTTGTACACTGCTCAAGAGGCAGTTGTTCAAACCGAACAAGGGGATGCGGCATGGTTTAGAATCAGGACAAGCGTGAGTTATGATTGTGTCCTCTCTCTGTTCTTATTCAATCTGTATACTGGGGAAATAAGCCAGGAAGTTAGATTACATGAATAAGAATGCAGCATCAGGATTAGAGGAAGTCTCATTAACAGCCTGTGATGTGCAGATGTTATTGAATGCCAAAAAGACTGAAATCACTTACTGATGAAGATAAAAGAATAAGGCCTTCATTGTGGATTAAATCTCAATACAAAGGGAAAACAAAATAACCCTCACCTCTGGACCAATAAGCAACATCATGATAAATGTAGAAATGATTGAAGTTGTCAAGAACTCTTTTTTTTCACATTTAGATCCACGATTAATGCCCCAAGAAGCAGCACTCAAAAAACCAATGGCATATTCCCCTGGGCAAACCTGCTGCCAAGGACCTCTTTCAAGTGTTAAAAGGCAAAGATGTCCCTTTGAGGACAGAAGTGGGTCTGTCCCATGCCATGCCGATCTCAATCATCCCACGTGCACATGGAAGACCAGAGAAGAGATGCCACTCAACTACGGTGTTGGAAAAGGATACTGCCTCTCTCATGGGTTGACCGATGGAGGGAGAGACCTTGTCTTAGAAAAAGTCCAACCAGAATGCTCCGTAGAAGTGAGGATGGTGAGCTATTTTTGCCTCACGCCCCTTGGAAGAAGCAGTCCTGGAGAAGGACATCATGCTCAGGAAAGGAGAGGGTCAGAGAAAGAGAGGAAGAGACTCAACACAAAGATCTGAGATAGCGGTTGCAACAATGGGCTCGCAGACAGCAAAGATTGTGAAGAGGGAGAAGGCCGGGACAGTGGTCTGTTGTGTGGTGCATGGGTTTGGGATGAGTCAGAACCCGGCACAACGACTTCTAAGAGCGACACGCTGGCAGATCATTTAATACCTTGAAAAGCCTTGGGGGTTTTTCTCTGTAAATACATTTGCCTGCACATACAGGAAATTTCCAAACTAAATACAGTTCATGCACCCCGTATATTTCTTTTATAACTGGTGTTGACAAGGACCAGCATCGTTCTCTAAACCAAACCTATTGTAAAATTTAGACTCATAAATCTGTCAAGCCAGTCCACTTTAAAACATGAAATACTTCATTATCATGTCACCGTCACTTACTTGGGCAAAAGGGTGTCCAAACTTCAAGCTAAGTATTGTAGGAACACAATAGATTGCTTTCGCCAAAAGTAGCAAAGACGTCTTCACTGGTGAGGTAAGGGGAGAGGCGGGAGCCCTTGTTACTATTGATGGTGAAGCATTTCCTCTACACCAACATCCAAGAGAAACTCATTTTTAAAACGTTCAAGACCGGTGTTCTGCCCATCAAAATCATCAGAGAAGTTGGTTTAAAAGAAAACACAACAAAGAAGATACCTGTGCCAAAGCCCCACCCTGAAGGAGGTAATTTCAGGTATCTGGGGCTCGTACTTTGACATGGATAAACTCCTTGGTAATTCTGATGTGTATCGGGGTTGAGAGCCACAGACTCACTCCTCCACTGCTCCTGGTTACCCATGACTGTTCCATCTCTTCAGAATCTAGGGTCACCGTTTGGAAAGAAAGACCCTTGAGAAAAAACACCTTCTTTGTTAAGAATACTTCAAAGGAAACCGAGGAACGCGTTAGAGTCACCTGACCCAGGCGAGAGAGATTATTCGGTGATTCTTATTTCACCCCAAACTATAAAGGAATGGCCCCCAGATTCCCCACCACCACCACCACCACTATTGTCTGTTTAACACAAACTGGTCGAAAAGAGTCAGGAATACAATTGTGATCCCTACACACAGCCCCTCTGGTCTCAAAAGGAGACATTCAGATTTATAAAGACACGTGGCAACGTGACTCAATCGCCATAAACAGAGATAAGTGGTTTCTTAGCTGGAGAGTGATAGGGCGACAATAGCCTCAAAGCAGGTAAAGCTGATGTCAAATCAAACCAACAAGAAGGAATGGACAGGGTTGCCACATTCACACGAGACGCTCACCATGAACTAGACAAAAACAAAACACCCTGCCATCGAATCGAGGCTGACTCGTGGCGACCCTATAGAACAGGGTAGAGTTGCCCCTGTTGGTTTCCTAGGCTGTCACTGTGTATAGGAGTCGACAGCCTCATCTTTCTCCTGAGGAGCGCTGGTGGTTTCGAACTGCATAACCACTACACCACCTAAGGTTTACTAGCGTTTCCCAAAGTGGCGAACTTACCCCCTAAGGAGTTCCGGAAGAACCCAGGGGTGGGGGGCGGGGCTGAAAAGCAGATAGCCACGTTTGATCCTGGAGGATGGGCTATAGCATAAACATTCATTGCGAGGGTGAGCTGCTGAGCAATTTTCATTTTTTTTCTGGAAAGGGGTGGTGAGCCGAACCCGTTTGATGGGCAAAGGCAACGAGGAGAAATGCAATCAGAGAGCCAATGACGACTGACTTAAAAATCTGAAAATGGCGAGGGAAGAGGAGCTCAAGGGACCAATCTCTTCTAGATTCGTGAACAGGGGCAAGAAACCGCTTGGCGTGGTTCATTCTCAATTCTTGTTCACCTCTGAATCCTCTGTCCCTGTACTCCAGATCCCACCTGGCAAACAATGCCCCAAAGCCCTGGCTCCGGGTGATTGTTATAGATCTACCTCTTCCCTGGAGACCACTGTTCTCCTGGACCCCAGAGAACGAGAAGCCGCCCATCAGAGAAACGGGGAGGGTTATGTCGCACAGGTAAGAGGCGTTTCTGTGAAACCCACCTGCTAAGAATGTACATCGTGCACGGTAAAGTTCAGACGCAGCGAACGAGAAGGCTTGGCCCAGCAGCTGCAACAGTGGGCTCAGACGCAGCAGCGAGAGGCTGGAGCAGGGCCGGGCAGTGCGCTGTTCTGTTGGCCACAGGTGTGCTGGGAGCTGGAACCAACCCAAAAGCAGCCACCAACGAACAGCAAAGAAGTTGCAGCTGAGCTCGTTTCCTGCGCGGATCTACTAACTGCACGCCTTGTACGCAAGCGGTGGACACCTGCAAGTCTAAGGGCATCAGCCAGCTCATTCAACAGCCCCGTCACCACTGTCTTCTCATCCGCGTCCGACTGGCTTTTCCTGTCTTCCACGAATGGTGGAAGGCCCTTCCTTTAACCCGGAAACCAGAGAGCAGATGAGGACAGTTCCTACGAAGGCAATCCTTGGGGCCTGTGGGCGTGGTAGGAGAGGGAAAGGCACCAAATCACGGTGTGGCTTGGCATGCTACTCCTCCTCCAGAGCAAGACCCAGACCCAAGTCCTCCTTCCTGATTAGAGATGGTCACCGAAGCTGCTTGGTGATGGTGGGGACTAGCCACACAGGTCGATGGCTGGAGAGGGAAATGATCACGTCACGAGTCACTCTTCTGATGTACTATACCTGGAGGCCGTGATTAAAAGTGAATTTTGGGTTTTCCAACGTTAGGGACCTAAGAGGAGGGTAAATGAGATGCACAGCCACTTCGGCGGAGTCACGGATGACCCTGGGCTGGGTGGAAGTCCGGGAGGTGGCAGCGGCCACGACAGCAGAAGCAGACATTTCACAAGAGAAACTCCTTATTGACATTTTGATCATCTTCTCAGAGATGCAGACCAGAGAATGCCCTCTACAAGTCAGCTACAACGGAATAAAAAACTCCAAAGGCCTCTAAATCCGGTCTGCCCAACCTTCCTGCCGTGTCTCCTGGCTTACATCAAACAGGATCTTTTCGGCCAACCTCTTAAACATAAATATTAAAATCAGAAGTAGGACAAACTACAGATCTACTTACAATTTCATCACTACGGTAGCACCTTTTTTTTTTTTCTCAAACCACGGCCCAGGCATTCCTTTTTGTACAAAATGAGAGGGTACTGAGAAGCTTAAGGACTTATGACACGTCATTAAATATTTAATCACCTTTTTACAGTCCTAAGCCTTTATCATATGTCATCCATCTAGAGTTCATTCTATCCTAGAGATTCCAAGGCCCTCTTGGTGGGGGGAGGTGGGGGAAGGGAGGGGAGAACCTTCTGAGCAAGCGGCAGGGTTAGGCGATCTCCTCTCTCGGGGGTCTCCATCGGTGTGTCTGTGACCTTGATTCGCCCTGTCAAACCACCAATCCACGGGAGGGTCGGCTGAATGAGTCCTTTGTTTTTAATCTCCAAGAATCAGTTTTACAAAAGATGCCACATCTGTTGCTTTGGATTCGTGTAAGGTGAAAAAAGGGTGTTGCTGGAGGGGGGAGAGAAAAAAGCAAAACCATCGTCTCAATCGTGGTTCCAGACAAATACACAGATCTCTTTGGTACGTAGATTAAATATGCTTATTGGACTCTTGGAATCTTGGAAACCCTGCCATCGAGTCGTTCCGATCTACAGAGTCCCTGGAGAGCAGGGTACAACTGCCCCCTGTGGGTTTCCGAGGATGGTCACTCTGTACAGGAGTAGAAAGCTCCCTTTTTCTCCCAAGGACTAACTGGTGGTTTTGAACTGCTGACCTTGCGGTTAGCAGCCTGGCAGTCCCCACCTAAGGCCACCAATTCACCCCAGCGGTGTTATCTTCAACAACCAATGGAAAGAGAGCAAGTCTGCAGGCAGACATGGGGCTGACGCACTTCGCCTTCCTGGGACTTGGGGAGTTTTCCTTGGCAACCTTCCTAGTGCCTCCATGTGGCTTTCTAATTTGGTTTTGAACCTGACAGCAGAGGGCTGGATGAGTCAGCTGTGTGGAACCGAGCGCCCACCTCTGGGAGCCAACAATGCCAACGGGAAAGCCACAAAGAAAGGTAGGTGGCCCCTGGGAAGGGCTGTGACTCAGAGCATGGAAGGGACAAGCTGGGTGCTAACCAGAGTACTGGGTGGGGGTCCTTCACACTAAGCTCCCAGGACCGTGAAATCACCGCCCAACTTCTGACCAGGAACCACGTACATAGTGCCCTCACCAAGCACTGTACCATTGTGCTTATTAGCTTTCCCACATCCTCTTGACATTTCAAGATTTCAGAAAGTACTGGAAAGCCGCTGCCTATCAAGGCAGGCCACTCCAAGCCTCAGATGGTTGGGTGATTGCAGCCAACTCTGCCAAGCTCACCTCGCCTCTGGCTCTGCTGGTGGCTCTGAGCGCAGTGGAGAGAGACTGAGCTGGGGGTGAATTCCGTGGCCAACCGAAGTCTTATTTAAAAAACAAACAAACACCCTGAAGGCATCTTTCAGTCTATTCTCGGGCTAGGAAAATGCAGAGGGAGCCAGGGGTGGGGAGGGGAGAACGGGCAGGCCCGTCACAGTGGAAAGTGTGAGCCTCCTTCCGTGTGGGCTGTGAGGCTGGGAGGGAACCGGGTCCCAGGTGGAAGCAATGCACCGAGCATTGCAAGGGCAGCAGCAGGAGCAGAGTGCAGAAGACACCATGGAAATGCCCGCAGGCCCAGGCTCCGTGCTGGCAAAACAGGGTCAGGGACAAGAAGAGGGGGACTGCCCTGCCTTTGGGGTTCACAGTTGTGCACCAGGAATCGCTGGGTGGACACATGGTTCAGGCACCTGGATGCTGGCTCCAAGGTGGGTGGTCCCAGTCCACCCAGAGTTGTCTCATTTATTTCAGAAAAGGCTGCCACTAAAAATCCCGTGGCACCCAGCTCTCCTCTGACCCACCCGAGGTGGCCCTGAGTCAGAAGTGGCTCAGATGGCAACTGGTTTGGGGTTTTGTGGGTTTGTTGTTGTTGGTTTGGGGTTCACAGATGGCACAAATATTGCCCTGGCATGTGAGGCCGCATAATTCAAATAAATAAAGCTCTGTCTAGATGGAGAAAGTAAAATGACTCTTTCCTACAAAAATAAAGAAAACAGCGAAATGGTCCATCTATGAACTCTTAGATAGTCTATCAAATCCTTATCGGAATGCCGTAGGGTCTGGCATCTCTCATTCGATACTGGCCTTGTGTGACTCTTGGAATCACTGTGGAACCCTGGGGATGTAGTGCATGAAGCGTAGATCTGGTAACTGCAAGGTCAGCAGTTTGAAACATGAGCTGTTCCTTGGGAGAAAGATGAAACTTCTCCTAACCCTTAAAGAAGTACAGTCTTGAAAACCAACAGGGGCAGTTCTACTCTGCCCTACAGGGTTGCTATGAATCGGAATCCACCCGCTGGCAATACATTTGGTTTGTTTTTCTGGTAGCCCTGTGGGCTTGGTGCTGGACTGCTAACCTCACTTTGCGGATGGTAGGCAGTTCAAATCCACTAGCTGCTCTGAGGCTAGGCTGCCTGCTGCCACCAAGATTGACAGTCTCAGAGAACCTAGATAGGGTCACTATGAGTCGGAATAAAGTTGATTGCAATAAGGTTGTTTTGTTTTGTTGAAGATAATTTTTAAAAAGCAATTCTGATGAACATACCTTAGTCTATAGCACCTACTGGGTTTAACAGCCTGGAAAAACTGGTGAAGAATGGTGCCTTGTCCTAAGTGGTCCCAAGAAGGCTGTCAGATCAGTCTAGGAACAGAATGCTCACCTTCCCTGTTGGAGACCTGGGTTCAATTCCCTGGCAACCTGTCTTGTGAGCAGCCACTGCCTGCCTGTGAGTTAGAGGCATGGGTGCTGCTGGGGCTGAACAGGTTTCGTGGGAGTTTCCAGACTAAGATGAGGGAGAAAGACCTGGTACTCTACTCCCAAATATCAGCCCAAGTACATCCTACAGATCACACTGATCTGATCCATAGGTGATCATGGGATAGCACAGGCCTGGGCGGTGGTTTGATCCACTGAGCAAGGGGTAACCATGGAGCAGGGTCCAAGTTGATGGGGCCAGCCACAGGGACAGGAGCAAGGACACCAGACTCTGGGCTCTTTTTGCTGGAGTTGGATCCCTGTCACCGATGTCTCCATGAATTAGCTCCTCTAGAACCTTCAACATGAAGGTCTCTGTGACTTTACCCTCCCTCCCTAGGACTTTGCTGAACAATACTTACCATAAGCTCAGGATACGTTGGCCTTTCTTTGGAATTCTTCTTCAAGCTAGAAGAAAAAGAGAGAAATCACATTGACATCTAGAAACCGCCTTTGTATTTCCCTTAAACTAGGGTTTCAGAATCTGCAGATGACTGAATATCACCAGTTTAAGACTATCTTGAAAACATAGGACTCCTCTCTGAGCTTTCTCTTCTGGTCAGCTTCAACTCCAAACTCCCTTTGGGAATGTGTCGCTTGATGCGGGTGGGCGTGCGTGCGTGCGTGCGTGCGTGCGTGCGTGCGTGTGTGTGTGTGTGTGTGTATAGTTGGATCTGGGTCCTTTATTTTTTTAATACCCCCCACCCCTCTTCTTCGTCCTTTCACAGTGACACACAAACCATCTTCTCTGCTCCATGGACATCTATTTGGAAATGACCTACCTATTGTTCTTCAAAGTGGTTTAACCCACCTCTACTAGAAAAAGAAATGGAGAGTTGTTTCTTCAGTTGCTTCTTTGTTAGGTTCAACTCCTTGTCGCCCCATCTCCTTGCTTCTGGGTCCCTTCACATAGTCCTACCCCACCCTGCCTGAGAGCAAAGCAACCAGTCTGTAAAATACCTAAAGCTGATGAACTACAGCTTGGTTGATGAACAGGAAAGTACTGCCTGCCTGTTGGTGACTTAACAATTCTTCTTAGGAGTATTTGGTAGCAGCCCCCGATAAGTGACTTCTGTTCATTCAGAACAGCTGTTTTTCAAACACACACACTACTGGAAGTGAGAGTAATATGAAGAGACCAATCCCTTACCCCCGAGTCTCAAACCATGCCTGCCTTTAAGAATGGTATTTTAAAAAAAAGAAAGAAAGAAAAAGAAAGCAGTTTATTTGGAGTTGGAGGGGAAAAAAACTCCAAGGTACAGAAATGGAGAAAAGGATGACTTTGAACAAGGTGATCTGCCAGGCAGCCTCCACACCCCTGGACCCCTGGGGCCATCACACCATTCAAGGATGGAAAGGCCCATTGCCTGGGTTGGAATTGGGTTGGAAGGAGCCAACATGTGACGGGTTGTGAAGGTCGCCGGTGTTGGTATGTATGGAACATTTGGAGCAAATGAGAGCTGAGATATGTGTTGGGACTGCTCCTGGGAGCAGACTGGCTCATCATGACTGGCAAGGCCCAGACCTCCCAAGAGTGAGGTCAGGAGGTGCTTTAGGGAAGTGTGGTTGAAAGCAAAAGGAAATGAAAAAGAACAAAGGCAGCGGTGGCAGGGAGAAAGGAGGAAGCTGTTGAATCCAGTCAAAGAAGGTGGCCTACCAGTTTGTTCCGGGCAGGGCTGTGGGAGGAAGCCAGGGAACCTGAGAGAGGGTGCAGCTAGAGGTGAGGAGAGCCGTTCCAACTGGGCTCTGGGCACACCTAGGACCTAGTGACCTCGGTGTCCAGACAACCTTTGAGAGAGTCTCATCTCCACTGAGGATAAAAATGAAAGTGAATTAGGCAGAGGAACGGCCAACTGTCAGTCCGCTTGATGTGGAAAGAACATGGCGGAGGAAGATGGAACCACCTGGAGAGTGAACTGGTTCATGGTATTGCCTGTAACGACAGCTTCACACTCCAGAGGGTTATCATGAGGGGTCTCAACCGGTGGTGATCTCTGCCTTCCCTATGGGATATGTAGCAGCCCTAGCGGCACTGTGGGTGAGACGTTCGGCTGCTTACCTCGAGGTCAGGAGTTCAAATCTACCAGTGGGAGAAAGTTGAGGAGGTCTGTTCCTGCCATGACTTACAGCACCAGACACCCCATCGAGCAGGGTTTCCCTAAGTTGGCGATGCAGCGCTCTGTGGGGCATGGAGGGGAGCAAGGGGGGGAATGCAAAGAGGATCCATGGGGGGGTGGGGGTGGGGAACGGTTCTCAAAAGCAGATTCCCTATATTTCATCCTGAATTATAGGCTACAGTTGTTATGTGTTGTCATTCATTTCTGACCCGTGAGAGCCCATGTCAAGTGACGCACTTCCCTGTCCTGACCCTCCTCACAGCTGTCTGTCCTCACGTCTGAGCCCACCGTTGCAACCAAGGGGTCAATCCATCTTGCTGAGGGTCTCCCTCCTTTCTGCTGCCCCCCTCTACTTTACCAAGTACGATGTCCTTCTCTGGGGACTGGTCTCTCTTGACAACATATCTAAAAGTATCTGAGACAACGTTTCGCCAGCCTGGCTTCTCAGGAACATTCACGCTGTACTTCTTCCCAAACAGATTTGTTTGTTCTTTTGGCAAGAACGTGGAACGTTCAACGTTCTTCTCCGGCACCATCACTCAAATGCATTAATCCTCCTTTAGTCTTCCTGATTCGGTGTTCAACTTTCACATGGGTTACAGGATAAACGTTTTTAATAGCCAGCGGGGGAGTGGAGTGATTTTTTTTTTTTTTCTGAAAAGGAGGCCATACACCAGCTGCATTTGAGAACTTCGGCTATTGAGGGTCACTAAAAAGAGGAATGAACTTGATGGCAGTGGGCTTGGTTTCTTGGTTTATGGGGCATCCCTGGGGTCACGGGGGTTGAGCACTTGGCTGCTAACTGAAAAGGTTGGCAATTGGAGCCCACCAGCCACTTTGTAGGACACCGAAGTTGCAGTCGGCTTCCATAAAGACTGTTAAGCCTATAGGGCAATTCAGGAGCCGTGGTGGCATCGTAGTTCCACGTTGGGCTGCAAACCGCAAGGCCAACAATTCAAAACCACCAGCCACTCCTCTGGAGAAAGACAGGGCTTTCTACTCCTATGAAGAGTTACTGTCTTGGGAGCCCACAGGGGCAGTTCGACCCTGTCCCATAGGGTGGATATGAATCAGCATCCACTTGATGGCAGTGGGTCTTTGTGTGTGTGTGTGTGTGTGTGTTTGTTTGTTTATAAGGCAGTTCTACTCTGTCCTATAATGTGGCTATGAATCAGAATTGAGTTGAGTGCAATGGTTTGTTTTGTTTTTGTTGTTGTTTGACGGGACACTTGGCATCTTCTGGGGGTGTTTGGATCATCGCAACTGGCAGGGAGGTGTGGGCTGGTGTCTATTAGGCAAAGATGTTGCTAAACACCCTATCATGCATAGGACAAGGGCCCAAGACTCCCGACAGGCACAAGGAGTCATCCGATCCACGATGTCACCAGAGCCGAGGTGGAGAAAGCCTACGCGCTCTCCTTGGGTGAGTTTGCCCTTCTTACTGCTGCCTCCCCGCCTCTTCCTGAGATGGGATCCACTGAAACTCTCGGTCAGCGGAGAAGTTCCTCCAGCTGCCTTGTCTGTCATTGGGTCGCATTTTCATCCATACCACCCAGCATCCCAGGAAGCAAAGGTTTTTCTACATTCCCAGCAACGTTCCTGCCTGCACAGAAAACCAAAGTGAACTCTCTGCCGTCCCTTCCAACTGCAGAGAGCCTGCAGGGCAGAATGGAACTGCCACAGGGGGGTTCCAATGCTGTCAGGCTGAGCTGAATGAAGTACAAGTGTTACGTCAGTGTCCCAAACAGAGCAGCTGGTGGGTTCCAGCCACTGCCTTTTCAGGTAGCAGCCACGCATTTGAACCACTGCGCTGCTAGGGACCCCTTGATCGCATGTAAACCGTAGTATAAAATGAACAAATACACAAACTAGCAAATGAGCACAAGCCCCGGGTTTCTTTCTGCCTCGAGGTTCAAAACAAGTGAAAATCAAAACCAAAAACAGGAGTCTTCTCTTGAATTTCACCAATTCAACTTGCACAACCAATAGTGAAAATGCAAGTGCCACATTAAAGGCACACGCCATCTCCAGGTGGTTATTTCTGGGCGTCTCCATGGAAACAGAGACGTCTTTTGTCATCAGGCCCTGGTGGCATGCTCTTCTAGGACCACAGTCCACCTTTCCAGCCCTGCCTGGACCAAGGAAATAAACCACAGCAATAGAAGTTTGTTTCTCAAATGTGAAAACAATGGTCCCTTTAACCAACCAGGGATCTTGATCGTGCAACTGCTAGTTCATCCTGGTGGTGTAGTGGTTGCACAATAGGCAGCTAACTTCAAGGTCAGCAGTTCAAAACCACCAGTCAATCCAAGGGAAAGTAAAGAGTTACGGTCTCAGCAACCCATAGGGGCAGTTTGACCGTGCTCTATAGGACCACCACGAGGCATCATTGACACGAGGGAGTATGTTGTTTTGAGTGCTTTGGGCATGTTGTCAGGAAAGATCAGTCCCTGGAAAACAGTATCATACTTGGCAGTGGAGAAATAAAAATGAGAAAGACGCTCAACTAGATGAACTGCATCATGGTTGTAACAATAGACTCGACATAACAATTGTGAAGATGGTGCAGGCCTGGGCTCAACGGCACCTAACAACAATGAGAACGGCAGCATTTAGGACATGCATGGCCTGGATCACACAAGTGATTAATTTGCTGAGCAAATAGCCCAAAGTCTATGAGTTCAAGTCCATCCAAAGGCACCTCGGAAGAAAGGCAGGGCTGTTGTGGTAGTTACATAATCTGGTGTCAATTTGGGACCTGAGAGGATTATGAGTCAAGGGGTGGAGTCTGGCCTGTCAATCAAGATATCCCGTATATACTGGAGTATAAGTCAACCCGAATATCAGCCGAGGCACCTAAATTTACGACCAAAAAATTGCATTAAGAATGTGCTGGGAAAACTAGACTTATACACGAGTATATATGGTAGCCAAGGAGGCCTCTGTGTGGGCATGGCCTTCTCCTGAGGATTCTGGGAACTCCTGTATTTCTTTCATGGAGGCGGGAGACACTTCTCTCTCTCTGCGCACTCCCTAGGAGACATCGCAGCTGACAAGACACATGGAACTACCTAATGCCTTGAGCTGAAGAAACCACATGGACCTATCCTGAAGCAACCAGACCTCTGGAGCCAGAGAAGCTTCGTAGAGACCCCTGCCAGCGCTGAGATGCTTACAATGCCACTGGATCCAAAGACTCTATACCCACTGGCCTGTGATCGTCTTGCATTGGGCGTCATTGCATGCATTTCGTGAATCTGAAGAGGACTTTATAGATGAGTATTGAACATA